TGCCATAAAGTGATCGAGGTAATAGAGGAAAATTAAATTGCAAAGGGCATGAAAGATGCTATAAGATTAGCAGAGCACTTTTCAAAACAAAGGGATGAAGTTTTTGCTGATTCAATTGAAAAACCTCTTAAAACTGCTTGCTCATCTTGATGCAGGTAATCAACACGTTGTAAAAAAATGTGTGCATGCTTTCTTTATTCATAGAATTTACAACAGAATTCAAAAGCATATGAGTGATCAAATTAAAACACTTATTTGCTGAAGGCAAAGGGGAGATTGATGAATAATATTTACTTTGCCTTTAGCAAATATTTTGGTAATTTTAATTCACTATAAAAAATTATGTCATTTTCCTACATTATAGGGCAATGGAACACGCAAAATATACCTTGGTTATACTCTGTAGAACAGGGCAGGAATATGAACAGAAATGATGCATATGATCTTTGATTTCATTTCCAATTTTTAAACATGAATTTTTCAGGGGTGAAAGCCCACCAGAATTTTGTTCTGATCTTCAAAAAACTTAAATGATTTCTTTTCTTGTTGTTTTCTTCTTTCATGCACATCTTATGTGATGGGTAGGATGCTCAGATAAGAACATAAAAATTTTCAAAAACTAAAGGCCAAAAGACTAGAAAATGAAATGAATGGGATAATAAATCATTCATTCAATGGTTTAACATAATATATGTGTGGACTTATCCACTTTCCATTTTCCACCTTGACAAGTTCTTCTTCAAAAAATTTCTTCAAGGGTGCCACTTTCAAATTTTGGCAATTCACCACTGTAGGTACTCATTTTGGAAATTAAAGAAAGTGGAACTTGTTAGAAATGATTTTCATAAGGTGCAAATAGTTATGTATTACTGTATTATTTCAAGCTGATTTATATCAGTGAATACCAACAAAGTGCATATTTACACTATTGTTGTGGCTGCTTACACTAAAAGTGCCTTTGTAGTGAACTCTTTTTAAGCCCCTCCTCCTTGATATTATCTTTACATTTGTAACTAAAGGGCTGAGAATATTATGTTTATGGTTGTCTATTTTAGGGGGTGTGGGTGTGAATTTCACCCAGGAACCTTCTAATCCAAGTTACTTTAGCAATGGTGGTGATGCCAACCTGGTGTGGGACTATGCTGATCCACAGAATAACATTCAGCACATTATCTATAGTGTTCTGCTACATGGTAAATTTGTCAGAATGATGTTTAATGACAGTCGTGGTGTCCAAGAACATCCTAACATTCCTCCATCTTACAAAGGAAGAGTTAAAATTGAAGGAAGAGCTACCCTGGTTATCAAGAACGTCAACCCTGGAGACAATACCAAATTTAAATGTGAAATGACGGGAAGCTTTTTGCACACAGTAGAAAGTATAGTGCAGCTTATTGTGGACGGTATGTATTACAGACTTAACCATTGATCTACACACATAAATTAATTCATTCCACTTATGTCTCATATTTCTGAGATCTGTAGAAGGTAACCATTAGCATAACTTTGCACAAACCCTTATATGCAGGGCTAAAGGTGGCTAGCACTATGAAATCAAAACCCATGAAAATCTTGTGAAATAATTCATGGTAAATTCATAGATTTTCCACAGAATTTCATTGTTAAATCTATAGCATTTCCAAGGTCTCAGTGCCATGTAAAAGACATAAAAAATCCCCTGAAAAACCTGTGAAAATTTTAATATTCCTGACCCATGAAATATTGTTTAAGGTGACCTTAGGAAGCCATGAAATATTTACACTTATTGTTGTTACTGCTTGCACTAAAAGTGCCTTTATGGTGAACTCTATTTAAGCCCTTCCTCCTAAATATTATCTTTACATTTGTAACTAAAGGGCTGAGAATATTATGTTTATGGTTGTCTATTTTAGTGGGTGTGCATTTTACCCGTGAACCTTATAATCCGATCTACTTTAACAATGGTAGTGATGCCAACCTGGTGTGGGACTACGCTGATCCACATAATAATGTTCAGAGCACTCTATATAGTGTTCAGGTGGCTGGTGCATTTGTCAAAATGATGTTTAATGACAGTCATGGTGTCCAAGAACATCCTGATATTCCTCTATCTTACAAAGGAAGAGTAAAAATTGAAGGAAGTGCTACCCTGGTTATCAAGAACATCAACCCTGAAGACAATACCAGATTTAAATGTGAAGTGAGGGGAAGCTTTTTCTACTCGGTAGAAAGTACAGTGCAGCTTATTGTGGCAGGTATGTATTACAGACTTACCATTATTAATCAAACATAAATTAAATGCATTCAACTCAATTGTCTCTCATATTTCTGATATCTGCACAAACCTTCATATTCAGGGCTGAAAGTGGCTTGTAAGCTATCTAACCCAACTTTTGGGAGCAGTAGTGGTATTTTTACTTAGCATGGGACACCACACTCCTAAAAAGAAAAAAGAGGTTCTATTTTGCTGTTTTTCATTAGTATGAAATCAAAGAGTTATGAAACATTTATTGTTTTATTCTTCTCAGCACCTTTATTAACCGGTGCTGAGATTTTCCCTTAGCATAGCTGTCAATTAAAAGTGGCCTGTCAAAACTAGAAACAATCCAACTGGTTGCACAATTTTGCTACACAGATCAATAAAGGAAAATATTGCATGAGCAATCAAAGACAGCTTGTGAAATTATTTGATGTCAAAAAAATCGCCTTGCTTTTCACGCCTTTTAAAGTGACTTGCTTAAGGGAGTGAAAGTCGGTATTGCACCTTCTGTTGCTTTCTGTGAATTATGATCTTCAAGGTTCACAGATGTAAGTTTAGTCAAAAGAATGGTGAGTTCCTTAGGTAGTTTTCTGACACTAAGCAGCAAGTCGAGACCTTAAAGATTTGTGCAATGGAACAAAATTTTCTTAAAATTATGGAAGTAATAAACCAAGGAAATCTATAATCCATGCAAACAGAAAATAATTTAATGATGATCAATGTGGCCAGGTAGGAATACTGTTCTTAGCAGATGCTGCTATATTTATGGAGGTCAGTTAAACAGCTCTAATTTTATTGCTGACTTTGGTTGCTCCACTAAGAAACTGAATGAATTCCACAATGAACTCTTAGAGACTTCAAGTATTCAATTTCAATTCAGAGTATGAAACGTTTTGTGAGCTTATGTAACCTAAACTTTTCAAAAGCAGAAGCCTAATGTTCTTTAAACAGACTTTTTAATCTTCTCTCTGGGAGTTTTTCCATTCATTTTCAGTATCTGGGATGTCCTAACAACATCAAGTACTTAAAAACAAGAGTGATATTCAGTATGTAACTTCTCGGTCACTTGACTGAGACTCAAAGTTGAAAACATCTGTGATATCTCAATACTCATATAATTTTACATATGTATATATATATATACTCATGTATATAGCTTGCAAATTTTACAGATCATTCTTCTGTACCCTCTCAATCAAGATAGACCTAATGGAATCCTTGAATGAAAAGCACCTTAAATATGTTAAAGAATACTTGAATTTCAATAAATTGACTATTTAAGTCTTAAAGGTGACTTCTTGATCCTTAAAAGCACTGTGAATAACAGCTGTAAAATGGATACCAAACCTTCTGAATGAAGTGAAGCTTGTGACATCTGGTTAAATCCACTCCCTGATATATATCATTTGCTAGTGTTGATATACCTGCAAAGTAATGTCTAACATTTTATTTCAAAAATTAAAAGCAAATATGGAAAAAGGAAAATTTGCAAATATTGAATTTGTGATAGTGGAGGCTTTTTGCACATCAAAGAGAACCTACAGGCCTCTTTTGACCAGTTTGATAGCTATTCATTCACTAGTTTTTTCCTGTTTGCTAGCCCCATATCCAAGATGTGAATTTAAGCCGCTTTTTGCTCTTAAGTATTTCCCATCCAATATTTAGGCACTGTTTGTTTTGCATTTTCACCAAGACCAAGACTGGACCATGTTGTGTGAAAATTAAATAGTTTGTTTGTTTGTTTGTTTGCTAGAAAGTACCTCTGTTTGCCTCATGTTGGATATGGCCCTGACTGGTTTCACTTAAGTTTTAAGGACCAACTCAAATCATCTCACAATAAGTTTTGGAGACACTAATTCAAGATTGTATTGAAATGTAACTCTCCTCTTTAGGGATATAACATATGTTCGTAGAACTCTGATGGAATGACGCTGCTCCATTGTAAATATAATGCCAACGACAGATTGAGGATGTGTTTCATTTGCTTAATGATAACCTCTCTGCTGGGAAGGAGCAAAACGTTTAATAATCTTTAGTTTTAGCTCAAATTGTTAACAGTGGTGTCCATATAGTCCATTCTTAATGCAGGGGGATAATTTGTTTTCTTTGCGTTTGACTTGGGTTAAGAACATCTTATTTCTGCGTATAATTCTTCAAAATGCTGAGGAAAATTTCGAAACTCTCCCCTCTGCAAACTCCCTTTGCAGAACAATCATACTGAACGATCGAGTTATTTAATGTTTGATAAAAGAACAATCAGTACAAGAAGATGATTACTTTAAGTAATGGGCAAGCAGCATTCAGCATGCCACCTGGATATTCTTTTTATCTGGAAGAATCCGTGGTTTCTCTTTCATCAAAATTTCAGTTCTCTGGGTTGAGGATGTCTTCTGTAGATTCTTTGTCAGGCTAAAGTCCAAGTGAAGTGTGGCTTGATCGGCTCTATTCCAACTTGCTTATGCAACAGAAAAAAAATTTATTAAAAAAAATGGGAGTGGCCCAGAGGCCAGGGTACTTAGCCCAATGAGTGACTTCCTAAATTAGCCTTTAATTCCCGAGGCTGGGGCTGTGCTTTACAATTTAGCTTGTGAGCAAGTTCTTCAGTAGCAAGCGCCAATAGGTTAACTTGTACTGGGTGAAGTTTGGGGATCAATTGCTGGATGCTTTTGTTTACTTTATTGAAATTGAGTAAAACTTTAAGACTCAGGCCAAGTAATATTTGCTACGCCATGAGGAATGATAAAATCTCTTTTACCTTTCAGAGGCACCGCTTATAAACCTCTCTTTAGGAGGAAAATATTACATTGAAGGATCCTCTGTCACCATGGCCTGTGAAGCTTCGGGGAAACCACCGCCGGATGTAGCATGGATTAGAAATGGAGTACTGGAAAGTTCAGGAAAGAAATATGCCTTCTTAAAGTTCGATAATATAAACAGAACGGATGCAGGACAATATACATGTCGAGCCAATAACTCAGTGGAAGTCACTTCCATTAACACAACAATTGTAGTCCAATGTAAGTATATTGTAACCTTAATTTTCTATTTCTGAATTTACTTTATTTACAATGTGAATCCTGTTATTGGGGTCAGTTACACAAAACTGACGAATCTGGTCAAAAGTGTAATGGAAACAGAATTTCACCTCAAATTCTTTCCGCTGGTCCCAACTATTGGTTAGGACAATTGAATCTAGGTGGAATCATTGCTCACATTATTTTGCTTTGGATGACAATTTTTCTAAGCAAGTCATTGCTTCAGTTGAACTGGGTTTACACGTAACTCAAAAAATGGCTCAAAGCCATTTCCGAGTAATTGTGACAACCCAAAATTCACTCCGTTTGACTAGGACACAAGGCTAGAGCATATTCTGATTCTGTGTGAGGGCTCTGGTTGGGGCTTAATGGAAAGCTGAGAATTGGTAAAAATTCTGATTGTCCACTGATAAATTACATTTTTTTTTATATAGCTAAGATCAGCTGATAGTCAAAATGGGCTGAAACTAAAACCACATGCCCAAGATTTCCGCACATATGTGACGTTCGAAGAGATCTATTATTTGACGGTTAGAATCCACCACATATTTCATTATTCGTAAGCCTTGCCACCTTACACTGAAAACTCGACTGCCAAATAACACAAAATAGATGGACTCGCTTTTTTTTTCATTTAAAGACATGAAAGGAAAAACAAATGCTACGGAGCGGTGATTGATTTCCATAACTTTCTGGTTTGAGAGGTACTTAATTGTCTCAGTGTTTGCATATGCTCAGTCATTCGACCTCTTTTGTCGGAAGCCGGTAAAAAGCAAGCATGAACAGTATGCTAATCTCTAGATTTTGAAGTCACTCGTCATTAAGGAAATTACACCGTACAAGCTTTCTTGGAGTGTACCACACATATAAAACATGACCCGTTGCAACTGAAAGTACAGTACAAAGCCAGTTTAGTGGGGTCTACATCTTACCCCTTCATCATTTTATCATTTAATTTTAGTGGCTTTCAGCCGATTTTATGCATTCATGGTCTATTTATAATTTGGAAAGCTATCAGTTCTCATCAGATAAAAAAAAATGACAACTGAGCAAGAAAACAAACAAAAACGAAGTAAATGTCCAGAAAGGGCATATTGCCTAAGCCAACGAGATTGGAGTATTAGGGTTTGTTGCTCTCTCCGATCACATTTTGGCATTAGGGTTTCACTTGTGCAAGTACAAATCTATTTTTGCCGGCGTTCTGTGACAATCTTTTTAACATACCATATTCAATATCTGCTTCTTCAAAAGTGAAATTGAGTTTAAACGGTAATTTCCCTTACCGCCTCTTGATTATTGCAGAGAAATATCTATTGACAAAACACATTGTTATAAATACTTGGAATTTATAACAGTATGCAAACAGTTTTAGAGATCGGTGAAACTGTTTGCCAAGACAGTAATCTGCTTGTTGACACTTCATCGTTGGATATAACTTATACTATTTTTGATGCAAGTACAAGCACAGTGTTGTGCAAAAGTAATGGAAACGAAAGTCACTGACTTTCGTCAATTGTTCGCATGAAATTTCATCGAACTCGGGAAGATTCTCACTTGCACCACGCGTAATTTCGCCGAAACAAAGAGCAATATTTCTTCGAATTTTCATTAGTGAACGAAAGTTTGTCATGAAAAGCTTGGGAAAGACAAAACAATTCTCTGCGCGACATGCCCGATCTTCATGTCATGTAATGAGCACGAAACAAGATATTAAAATCTCTCCCCACAGAAGGTTCCAAACGCTTGTGTGAACTGTGCTCATCGTGTTTTGATTATATCTACGATGCGTTTAACAAAATAAAATTTTGGATTAAAGAAGGAAGGCGAATTCGAGCAAATATTTGAGAAGCACGTGTGTCTAAAGTGTCCAACAAATTCAGGAAAGCGTAAAAAAAAGGGAAATTGACTGGATGGCGAGACACGTTGAATTTAGTTGGATAAAATCGTGCACGAGCTGTTTCTCATATAGAGATCCATGGAATTTGTTTGAGTGGCTATTGAGCTTTAAGATGTTCCTAAGCTCATAGAAATAGTTCTTGCTCTTTTTAAAATTTGTCTCAATGAGTTCACCCATAATGAACACTGGCTATGAAAATGCGTGTTTGCCCACGTCTGTTTTCCCTTGGTCAATAAAGTCACTCTTTTCTTCCGTCGTGTTGAAATTTAAAGTTAAGAGTTTTGCATTGATTTGCAGTTTTTCGCGCAGTTTCATTCCTTAGTTTGACCTAAGCTTTCTGGAATATGGCCTCTACATAAGGGAAGGGAAGGGAAGCTCTGTTCCTCAGAAAGTTCCTAGACAAATACATCATCCTGGTATCAATTGAGCAGAATAAGGAATGTCTTAGATTCAAAATGAGTTTTCACTGTTTTGAGAGATGAGATCCTCCCACATGCAGCCTCTAGGACACTGCTGCACTCATCCTCTGGCTCAAAATTAATTTCATCAGATATTCTGCATGAATGACAACGTTTTTATGTCTGATTCACAAATTGCTTAGTTTAGTTACCAGAGGATTTATGATAGCTCTCCTGGTAACACTACAGTTGGTGCTATTTTTCTTGCTGCAGTAATGCCATTGTTTTTCAGCATACAATATGTGAGTTAAAGTATTTTTCTTTTAGTCAGCATCTTTACCATTGGTGGATGACTTGCTGCAATTTTCCATTACAAAAGCGTTATATTTTCAGACCAAGGCACTCGATTGATTGATACTAGATTAACCCACACACAAGATTAACCCTTCCTTGTTGCATTATCATGTACCCTCTAGACTTTTACAAAGGGTTATGATTTATGACCAGCGGGAATGTATGAGCCATGAAATAAACAGATGTTAATATTTAATTTGATTTACATTTTTAGACAAACCCGAAGGTGCAAGGCTCATTACCAATGCTTCACAAAATACCGTCACTGAAGGGGACACAGTTACATTCATGTGCATAGTTATGGCTGCTGTCAAGTGTCAATTTACAAGTTCTATTTCAATGGCCGCCTCCTTGGTGGGAACAACAACAGTGAGTATACTCTGAATAAGGTCAATCGATCTCAGCACTATGGCGAGTACAAATGTGTCCCACAAAATGACGCTGGAGATGGAGCAGAAGCCACTGTGAGACTTGACATAAATGGTGGGTAGAAACATCTTTGAGCATTTTTGAGTAATTTGGAATTATAATCCAAAACAGTAGAAACGTTTTTTACCAGTAATGAAACTTTCCACACCTTGAATCATTACAACCCCTAACAGGGAAGAATAGAGACCCTGGTATTGAGATTGACATGTCTCCAGCTGAAGAGGTGTCTCCCTTGCAAGTATTACTCAGCTTGCCACACAATGCTCCTCCCTAAGGTACTTGAGAAAAGTGCTGATGAAGGATGTATGACCTAAAAAATTTAGCCAATACCTAATAACAAATGGGTGCCTAATAGTAAAACTTGGGCTTGATGATAATGAAGTGGTGTGTGATAACGATGGACTTGTGCCTAATAATGTTGGACAGGTGCCTAATAATGATGAACCGGTGCCTAATAATGATGAACGGGTATCTAATAATAAAACCATATGTTTACTTATGATGAACTTGTGTCTAATGATAATGAAACAAGCCAAATAATGATTCCCAAGAGTATAATGGGGATGAAATGTTCACTGATTTGGGGAAATGACACTCCATGGCAGTGCTCGCCAGGCAAAATTTGGTTTGTTACCTTAGACTGTTGTCAGACACAAGAAGTCTGTAAGTTTGTACAGCTTTTTTGGGAGCCTATATAAGGTTTTACATTTTATTTTTACTGTGTAGCAGATTACCTGGAATTTAGGTGTAAGTTTGAGATTAACCCTAGGTCTCATTATGTAAAAAAAAAAAAAGAAGAAGACAAACCATGATTCCAAAGCAATTATCCTGTGTCCGCCAAAAACTGTAAACTTATTCTTGTTATTAGAGTATTTTAAAACTGATGCAAATTCCGATTAGCTGACATAGTGAAAGTTTGTTTCCACTTTTTTATATATTTTTTTAGGTATGTGCTACACTTTATAATCTTATTTCTATAGCGTAAAAGCTGGATGGTTTTGAACCAAATCACACTCTAATGTTATGGTGTGAAAATTTGTTGTTTTTCTCTTCTTACCTAGTTCCTGTCCAGTTTACAGAAGTGCCACAGAATATAACAGTTAACACGTCAACTCCTCTGTTTTTGAGTTGTGATGCCTCGGGTTTTCCTGAACCTCAGATAAGATGGGAAAAATCTGGGATTAATTTGTCCCGCACCAAACAGTTGAACATCACCAGCAGTAACAGGAACGATGCAGGAGAATATGTTTGCATCGCAGGCAATGGGGGGAGACAGGAAAAGACAGTAAGAGCTTATGTCACTGTGCAATCTAAGTCTTCATTTCAGTATGTCATAAAATGCCGCCACCCTGTATTTATTGGTCAGTTGCCAAAGTCCCCAATTTTTTTATCATTAATCATTGTAAATTTAACTTCTTTTTGTGGTCACCTCTATTAAGTGGTCTTGGTCACCTTTGATTGAGTGACAACAACCTGTTTGTATTGTCTTCCACTTGTAATGAACGGTCACATAAAAAGGAACCACTCAATTAAAACTAAAAATTATTTTTTGAGTAAAATGTAATCCATGTTTCTCTCCCAAATTTAATTTTAATAGTATTTTTAACAAGTTTTTGTGCATAAAGTGATCAATTATGACATAAAATGGCATTTTTTATTGTTTTCAATATTACTCTTATTCTGTGGAACCCCATCTCCTGAGGATGACCACTCAATACAGGTTTGACTGTTCCTTAATTCCCCCTTTTTTCAAAATGTTGCAATTGAAAAAAAATTCTAAGAAATAAATGCACATTTTTTTCCAATAAAAAAGTGATGACAGAATAAATTATAAGGAGAAAGGATCAGCACAATAAGTCCTTGTTTCACTTTCGCACCCTAAAGAAAAAGTAGTGTTCTTTCGATGTGAAATATACATACATCATGCATCAGCTCTTTGATAAGAAGAGAAAAACTGTGCATATTCTCAAAACTGCAACGTTTTAGATAACAGGTGTATTAATATGCATAGATGTACAAATTTCACTAAAAGATACTCCAAAAAAACAACATACCCAAAGTCAATATTCAAGAAAAAACCCTTTCAAAATTGACAATTTCCTCAACCTCACCCACTACTAGTCTAATTATTGCAACCCAATCACATAACCAATTCTCTCAAATCTTATGATTTTTTGATAGTGTGTACTTTTTCCTATGGCCAGCTTTTCTTAGAATTTATCTTTTACAAGCTGACATCTGAGAAGAATCACTGCTTATTCTCAGATGTCTTGAAGACCACACTGGCAATTTGCCCCATTGTAGGCAAACCCTACAACTGATTAAATTTAATTTGATCAAAAACACGAAAGGCATTGGATGAAATTAGCCTCCCCTCAAGTCTACCTTCTTAAATATTCTGTGATCTTTTTTCTACCGAATGGTGAAGTCTATAGTTTCCCTTCTTTCACTGTCTTCTGTTTATTTGTTTGTTTGCTTTCCTAACAGTCTTAAATATAGTGCTACTAAGGAATGTGAGGGGCAAATAAAATGTCACAGTCATCACAGACGTTATGTATTCAGTTTTATACATGCAGAGTATTGCTTGAATATATCACTGCAGTAAGTGCAATTGCCTGGTAAACAATATGCTATTCTTCCACTTAGGAGGAAGCTTCGTGTACACAAAATTTGAAGTTCAGGGCTTTCGGTAGCTTAGTCGGCTACTAAGATCCACCGAGTACAATAGCTGTACCAAACATAATTTTTAAATACACCTCTATAATAATAGATGTACACAACTGACATGTATGAGTGAAGCATGTCAAGCATTAAGCCAGTCAATTGTTCTTATGTAGAATAAAGTTTCAAAATTATTGAAATAAAATTAATCTCTTAATAACAAATGTGTAATATCTCTTTAAAAGATTAAAAAAGCCACGTCATTTATGAATTTTCAAACAATAAACGCCAAAAAAACTTAAAGATGGAATTTAAAAAAATGCGAAAATATGACCCATCTTTTGACTGAGATTTTAATCGTTGACCGACACGCAGAGGCCAAAGCAATAAAAAATTGCAGACTCGAGAGAGAATCATACGAAATCACTGACACCTGCTCACCTGACTTCAATTTCTGGAGAGTAAATTCTGCGACACTTCAGTCTTATCTTCTCACACATGAATTAAAACATAAATTTAATTATTTGCAAGCAGTTTAGGGGTAAAATTAAATGTTAAATTTTACATGAAAAGAAACACATTACAGTAAAATAAAGCAGAATTATATTACCTTTATGTTTAGGCTTCTGAATAAAGCTACAATAGGAATAAGACATGCAATTGTTTGCCCATGTAAACTGGGTGCAATAGACGGCCGTATAGGAAATTTTACGCAAACGACATTACATCCTTTAAGTTGACATGTACTAAATCCCGAAACAGCGAAACGAAACGACTGAAATGGAACAAACGAAACGAACAAAACGAAACTAAACAAGCGAAATCACCGAAACGACAAAACGAAACGAACCCAACGACCATACTGAAACGACCGAAACGACCACAACGAAATGACAGAAACTATCAAAATAATATACAACTTGAAGGATGCAATATGTTTCTGCTTTACTTTATTTAGGAAGAGGTCCCATTTTCAGTGAGACAAAAAGCATTTCCTGTATTTTGAACGAATCGAGTAGAAAGCATAAAAATATATCGATGAAAAATTACCATGTCCAAAGAATGCAGCTCACTCTTTATACGTAGAACTAAATCCATGAAACCCGCGAGTTTGTTTGCATCACATTTTAGCGGTTCATAATTTCTTAGAAGTTTGACGGGTCCTCACATGACGATATAGTCAAAATCAAGTTACTGCGTCAGACTACTATATGAATAACAAGTAAACCTAGCTATAGTTAACTAAAGAGCAAATGATAGAAGCTTGCTTACGCCGCTCGCTACTATTTGAAAACTTTCTGGGCAAAAATGCTTGTCCAGATTTCATAAAGAAGTAATCCGAAAGTTAATTTCTTTTGCCTTTACACCACGACTGAATTAAACATTCCAATCGAAATAATTTGGAGAATTAAAACAGTCTGAAATGTTGTTTAAGCAATGAACGGCTGGAAGGTTTACATCTACTTCTACTTTTATTAATTTGGTAAAATCTGTACAGGCATCACACCAACCAACCCGCGTGCAAAGTGAGAAGACTATATGAAGGCTTAAAATTATATTAAGAACGATTTTGATCAAGAAACGGGCCAGTAATATTCCACAATAGTGCAAATAATCGTGAAAGCTGATCGTGGAAAAGCGATTGCGTGACGCTCGGTAAGTTGTAAGATGACATGTTATCACAAACCAGACGAAAAAACACTTTAAATTCTTAGTCTGCCTTTTGTGCCCACTCTGCAGTCTACATTTTTTACCTAGTCTATATTTTGTATCCGGTCTGTACTTTGCATTTTGCAGTCTGCAGTCTTCCTTTTTTCCTAACAGGTATCCGTGGCATCGATACTGTTTATTTTTAGTTACAGTTATTCGCACAACACACACAATCGATCACAAAATACCTGTGTGTGTGAGTTAATTCGACGTTTTCGTTCTTTTTCGCGCCAATATTCTTTCCTTTCGTAAAAATGTAGACATCACTTAAAATGTTTCAATTAATCCGCCCACCCAAAAAAACAACTCTTGCATGCGTAGCATGCCTATGTTTTTATAAGTATAGGCTACGCTTCCTTAGCGAAAGTCCCATTGATTAGTTCAATTATAAAAAAATACCTCGCGTTTTAACTTTCTGAGTTATATTTTGTGAATGCTTGAAATTAATTAAAAACGATTTTTAGGCCGCGAGTCAATCCATTTAATGGCATAATTTTTCTACCAAAAATTATCTTTTAAATTATTATTTTGCTGGCATTTAAAGCGATTTGGGAGAGAGAGAGAAAAGAGAGCATCAAAAAGTTAGACATAGTTTGATGCTACTCTGGTTTGCAGATTTAATGAATGTAACTGAAGAAGTTACAATTCATAGACCTAACGTTTCGACACTCCTGTCTAGTGCCTTCATCAGGGGTGATCTAAAAGCTGCAACAAGAGGTCCTTTTATATGACCACTAATTAGCGGCCTTTTTTCTGACGAGGTGTAAATGGCCGTCAGGAAGCAAACCACCATTGTCACGATTTAAAGGAGCGTGGGCGGAGTTAATATGCCAAGCCTCCAAACAATGGCGCTGGTGGTAACGCCGATTAGTGGTGATAATTTTAGAATTATCCCACCCAATTGTATGGTTGGTTAAACATGTATGCTCCGATAAAGCTGAATTTTCCTTTTTGCAAAGAAAAACCGCTTTTTGGTGCTCTTTTAACCGTGTACCAAACTGACGTTCGGTCTGTCCGATGTATTCGTTGTCACAGTCATTGCAAGGAATAGAATAAATGGCGTCGGTTCGTTTTTCTTTCGTGACAGGATCCTTAGGTTTGGCGAAAATATGCCCCAAAGTCTGAAAGGGTTTTTGAGCATCTTTAACGTTGTGGCTATTCAAAATTCTCTTGATGGGTTCCGTAACACCCTGTATGTAAGGAATAACAGCAAAACCAGTCGCTGGTTCCCTTTCATCAAGAGCGTTACTATTTGTACCTGGTTTTTGGCAGTTACGGAGAAAAGTTTTGTATAGCCATTTGCCTTTAGGACATTGGAAACATATTTCTCCTCAGCCTTCGAATCGAGTGAAGATGGTAGACAGTCAGCCCTCCTAAGTAAAGTTTTGGCTGCAGACTTTTTATGGCAAATAGGGTGGTGAGAATCGAAAGCGAGGTATTTGTCGGTGTGGGTAGGTTTACGGTAGACACTTGTCTCTAAATTACCCTGAACCCCTCTTTAAATCAAGAAAGGGCAAATGTCTATCCTTTTCGCGCTTAAGGGTGAATTGGATCGACGGCTCTACTGAATTCAAATGCGACAAGAGGCGCTCCGCTTCATTTCCGGATACCGCAGAAATAACATCATCGACATATCGTTTCCAGAAAAAGGGTTTAACCAGTGAAGTGGCTAAGGCCCTTTGTTCCACGTCTTCCATTACCATGTTAGCAATGACAGCAGAGACGGGCGAACCCATCGCTGTACCAAAAACTTTTTGATAGTAGGTGCCGTTATATGTCAATTGCGTGGTTTTGAGGCAAAAAGACAGCAGATGAATAATATCCTCCACAGGCAAAGAAGTTCTTTGTCCCAGGGAAGCATCCTCTCTGAGTCTTTCCTCCGCAACCTTAACGGCAAGATCAACTGGGATTTTGGTGAAGAGCGAAATAACGTCGAAAGATACTAATTCTTCACAAGCGTTAAGAGTTTTATCTCTTATGAAATCCGCAAATTCGCAGGAATTTTTGACAGTGTAATCAGTATTCCCAACAACAGGCGACAAAATTCTCGCAAGACAATGGGTCTCAAAGGAATTCCCGGTTTATGAATTTTAGGTAAGCCATAAAAACGTGGACATAAGCCGTCACCACTGTATAACATTTTGTACGTAGAGTCACTAATTCTACCAGCTTTTTTCAAATCAAGCAACATTTTGTTTACCTTTCTTTGAGTTTTGCTGGTAGGATCAGAGTTTAAGACAGCATACGTACTCTTGTTATTAAGCAGAGACAAAGCTTTGTCGTGATATTGCTGTTTGTCCATAACCACAACACAATTACCCTTGTCAGCAGACAATACGAGCCTGTCCGGATCCTTTTTGAGAGCTATAAGCGCATTGAAAACATCCTTTTGAATGTTTTTGGGAGGAGGTTTAGCACGCCTGAGTATGCTACTTACTTCTGCTCTTACCAAATGCCTACGATCGTCGTTGCGATACTCTCCTCAACAGCGGCGACAATTTCGGCAGTCGGTATTTTGCGAGGAGTAATAGCAAACTTCAGACCCTTCTCTAAACCACTCCGTTCCAGCGAGGATATCTCCTTGGAGGAAAGGTTCATGACCCATTTATCTTTCAGAGATGAGCCTGAATTAACAGGAGACCGCAAGTGACGGAGTTTTCTGTCGTGTTTCTCTCTCTGTTTGGTAAACGTCTGCAGTTCTTTCGAACTGCAGAACTCCTCGACCCAGGAAGTTTCGGAGTTGTTAATCAAAGCAGAAAGCTCACTGAGTGAACGAGAGAATAACCCACGCAAACGCAGTATGGAACTGTGACATTCATCTATTCGTAGCTTAAGAAAAGAAAAACCAGTATGGACCATGAGCTTGTATCCTTTAGCACTCCGTACTTAAGGACCTCTTGAGGATCTCTTAAGGACCTCTTGAGGATCTCTTAAGGACCTCTTGTTGCAGCGTTTAGATCACCCCTGATGAAGGCACGAGACAGGAGTGTCGAAACGTTGGGTCTATGAATTGTAACTTCTTCAGTTACATTCATTAAATCTGCAAACCAGAGTAGCATCAAACTATGTCTGATTGTCCACCTGGTTGCCGTGTGAACTTTAATATATTAAAAAGTTATTTACCAGCTTGAGGCCGTGACCTTCGTCTTTCCTTGAAAAGAATGTCCAGCCGGCAAAACGAAATTTATTTATAAAGAATGGCAACAAAGGAACGGATTACTCTGCGACTTACGGAAGTGTTGCCGTGCCAGTGGATAGAGATAAGGAAATACGGACCGCGCTAAGTACCCAATAGATTGCAGGATTCGTGACAGTGCCCTCTGAGAAAAAAAATACACCTTATTTTAGCTAGTTGCAAAGTAATTTTTCCTAGCCCTGAAGAGGCGAGAAAAAATACGAGCAATGAGCAAAATTTTTGCTCCCATTATATGTTAAACCATCGAATAAGGGATTTTTTATTCCACTATTATTTTCAATTTTTAGTATTTTAAGTTTAGTATGTGAATTACATCTTACGGCCTAATCCGTAGCAATCGCATAAGGTGTACTTCAAAGACGAAAACAGCTACGACTAAACCATTAAAGTGTTCTTTGTGTTCTTTCCTGCTTAAAAGTTCGCTTCTTTAAAAGTCAATTTTAAAAAACAAAAAAAGTTTGGATCGTCCAGTCCGACCAATATGTTGCTACGTATTTTTGCCTTGTTGTAAAGTGTAATATTTTGCATATTTTGCTGTCAATGACACAGTACTGGAATGATAAAGCTCGTTAATGTTTTGATTTGTATGAAGTATCACCAATTACTTGTTCAATTGCTTATTGCATTTTCATTTATTCTTAGACCCGCCCACAATTCAAAATATAACCACGTCATCTAAGAAGTCTTGGACTGGCCAGACAGTGACTTTGAAATGTCTTTCTGATGGTGTTCCTACACCAACACTCTCTTGGTACAAACCTGAAAGAAGTGAAATAAACAGAGTCAGAGCCAGAGAAAACAAAGTACAAGTGCCACTCATAAGTGATCAAGATTTTGGTCATTACAAGTGCATTGCTGCCAATGGACTTACTCCATCTGATGAGGAGTTAATAAAGATAAATCAGATAAGTAAGTAACAAAGATCAGTGTATTTGGTAACAGAAAAACTACATATAACGTCAGCATTTTATTTTGCTTTTACTCATTACCACTGTTTCTGGTGTATTAGAAATAAAAGCTGTCGACGCCTTGCCCTTTGGCAGCATTAAACACGTTACAAAAAAACGTCGAACATCAGGTAGATTGATGACATCCTCCCATGCGAGTATTAGTGTAGTAATACAAGTACTTGCGTCCATCTTAAGTATTGTGACGAAAGTCGCTTTGAGGTAATCACCAAAAAAATTCTCCTTGCTTTTTTTTTTTGCTCAAAATGATCCCTTTTTTATGGCACTATGTAGAGAAACCAGGGAAAACATCCATCAACTCATCAGAATCAGTCATTCAAGCAACTGTTATAACAATACGATGGACTGCACCAGCTGATGATGGAGGAAGTCCAATTACAGGATACCGACTGATCTTACAAAAGGGTGAAACTGAGATAGAAAAGGATAATATTACCGATTCTGGGACAACAAGTTATTCGTTTCGTGGTTTGGAGAGAAATACCAACTACACAGTGTAACTGTTTTCCAGAAATTTTGTATTCGAGGGAGATCCCACTGTAAGGAGAATTAGGACTATATTTGAAGGTGAGGAACCACAAGTGATGTCGTGACTGAGCACTTTACATCAATTATTTTTTTGCTAACTTAGATTTTTCCCAGTTTTAACAATATTATATGCTCGCCGCATTATAAGTGTTTGTCCCCTCCTTAGTGGCCAGTTTCTTTTCCTTTCTAATGGTTATTTGAGAGGTACCCGCGTTTGAAGAAGCCTACTAATAAATAAACCACAAGTGAAAGTAGGTGAGATGAAAAAAAACTTAACGGTTTCCGTTTCAGATACCACGCCGACCTTTTATTTCAAATTACCTTACATTGGCCCTTTTTCTGTTGTCATGCAAAAAAGGTCTCGCCACTTTGCTGAGCGTTATTGTGATAACATAGATATAAAGTTGGCTTTTTAATCTTTTAAAATAGGTAATATGTTTGTTGTGAAAGACCCTATCCCTCGTGGGCTCCGTACGTGTGTGGTTTTCAAGTTGTAGTGCCTGTTTTGTCGGCTAAACCTCTCGGCATTTATCCACACGTGTGCGTGAGCACTTGGTCTGTGATAGAACCTCTCACATTTTCAGACATTTCCAAAATTCTCAACAATGTCGTGCTTTATATTCTGATGAGTGTTTTAGCATCTTATATCACGCTTCCAAAACTATCCAACTTAAAATCAAAGAAGCTATTTACATTCAGAGAGGGCAAGCTACACTTAATCATCAACTTTGTCTTGTTAATTTGAAACTTACCTTGTAATTGCATATATTGTTCTGTTTCTATCGTTTGTTTTGTCCAATCAGCATTTTTTTATACAGTGTAAATTCAACTTTGTAATTTGTATTAAGCAGAACTGAAGATGACAGAAGAACTGTCGAAACGTGTTTTTGGAAGTCATTTATTTTCTTAAACCAACTGTCCCTTTTGACGGTGAACGTACTAAGTCATGCGCGATGTCAAACTTTGAAAAATAGAAAATAGTTAGTTCCTTTCCGTAATTACGTGACACAAATGAGTGGTGAATTGCGACGTCATCTTTGCATCGTCCTTCATTTGATCATATGTAAGTAGCAATTAAATGCCAGTAGAGATCAGTGTATCATTCCGCTTCACTTTGTAAATGCATTATTTGTTTTAGGCTACAACCAACCATTATTTCAGGCTTTTCATTATCACTTTTTGTCCCTTCAAATTATTTTGACTTCATCTCAATACTTAACTTAATTTTTCTTGCTATACACTTTCGTTTGAAAAGTATCCCCTAAAAGATCCTCGACCAAGTTACAGATTATTTAATCACTGATAATGGTTGTGACCAGGTTTCTGACAAGATGTCGAATAATTATTAGAAATTTGATGCTGTTCATGTTGTTGACATCAATCTAGGAGCCCCTGATGTGGTCGAAATAGACAAACTGCCAGGTGAAACAACAAACGATACAATTACCCTAAAGTGGAAGGAGCCAGAAAGTAATGGAAGAGTTATTACCATGTATATAGTGTACCTAAGAGTGATGACTGATGGGAAAGTGGGACAGCGGACAATAATAAAGAAAATCAGCGATGCTTCTGTGAGAGAATTGAAAATACCGTTGGAGAGAGGAAAGGTGTATCAGTTTGCCATTACTGCAACTAATGAGCTTGGTGAAAGCCTAAAACAAGAGAAAGCAAATATCCAGCAGGTCAAGACAGAAGGAAGTTTGTTCAAATGAATCTCATTTTCCTCTTTCAACGGTTTGTCCTTTTCTTTACTAAGTTCTCTAGCACTCTCCGTGTCATCAACATCGAGGTTTTTACGGGTGAATTCTTCGCTTATAAAAACCTGAATCAATGAGAAAAATTTCACTTACATCGCGGTTGATATTTTTGTGCCTACTGCAAGAATATAGCATATCCATTAACCGAGATCTTAGTCATCGGCTGGCACACACAGATAGTTTTAAGTAGTTTACTGACGCGTGCTAATCTGAATCTGGAAAGAGACCTCGGCAACACTTTAGCTTTATCTTCCCACACTTAAATTAACTGCCTTTTTCTTTCCTTTGCCACCATCACTTAGTTGATGCCTCTCTCCCACAGAAAAATGTTCACTCTCCCACACTGAAATCCGAGAACTTTTCTCTCATTTTCACCACCAAGGCACTTTATTCTTTATACCGATGAGAGCAGCTTTGCACGTAACCCCCTCTTCGCGCCATAATTTCGACACCAGTTTATTGAACCGTGAGAACTCAGAAGTGACCCATTGTCGGCAAATTCGCTCTTGGTTAATGAATGAATTGCCAGTAATCGGATCCTTGTGTTTGCGCAAAGATTTCTGGGATCGCCACGGGGCAAATATTGCAACTGGCTAGAAGGAAATGTATGGCGGAAGTTTATTCGGACGTTCAACAAAACGATTTTGGGGAGAGGTTATCGCTTTTCGCCGCTTTTTTTTTTTAATCAGAAATAGATTTGGGTGATGTTGACACAAGGGAAGCATAAGTTTTTGTTTGAAAAACCATGAACTATTCAATAAAATCTATAGATTGAATTTTCTCCATGCGCAAGGTTTACTTCGAAATTCAGAAATGTTAACCACAAATCGCCAAGAATTAACTCAACAAAGCCTTTTAAGTTTTTTTTGACAATTATAAAGTCTACTTCTAGCTTTTTTCTCGGCTTGGTAATACAAAAGAGCGCCAAAACAGCTACCTCGAGGCAGCTGGAGAGTGAAATGGTGTGTTTCAGCATTAAATATTATCGTGGTACATTAAAGTGATTAAACACTTACATAACTTCTTTTTTGTGATCAGTGAAAATGAACCAGCGTAATCGGCTAAAAAATGAAACCTTTATTCTGTGACGATTATTAGGTATAAATAGGTCGCTAAGGAGCGATGCACAACTGAATTGATGTTCACAGTTTCGGCCGGAGTTCCCGTTATCTTGCTGTTGCTGATAAGATCCTCCAAAGAGTTCGAGGACACAAGTTGCAGCTAAAAAACCTTTGGATTTTTCTCAAACAATCTACCACTTGACCTAGGGATTTCTACTTGATTTTCATCGCTTATTTCATCCTTTCAGAGAGGAACGAATTCTCTCCTTTAATGAGGCAGTACATACATAAATACAACCGAAAAGTCTTAAATGCGTTATTTCCCGGCGATTTATAACTAATCATGTAACATGTCGAGACCATTACGCGATGACGATTTCACAATAGACCTTGCGTAAGGAGAGAAGTTTATCGGTATATTTTATGACATATTTCGTGGTGATTCTAATAAAAAATTTCACTTCCCACGCATCAACATCATTATTAATCATTTGTGATAAAACTTCGGGGAAGAAGCGTTTATCTCTCTCCAAAATTATTTTTTTGGTCGTCGAAACAACCTTTCGCCATATATTTCCTTCTGGCGAGTTGCAATGTATGTCCCATGGCGATATCAGAAATCTTTGCGCAAACACAAGGATCCTATTACTGGCAACTCATTCATTAATGATGTATGATCGCGCTGCCTCACCCTGCGAACAGAGAAGTTGTCAATCTTTTCTTCGGTGAAGCCATAAAGCGTGACACAAACTTCTTCTCTCAAGATCATGAAGCGGTCTTAGGTCTTAGGTCTTAGGTCTTAGGTCTTAGGTCTCAGTCAAAGTGAGATACTCTGATTGGAAATGGAATCTCGTCAATTTCTCAGCCTAGAGAAAAAGATCAGTTAACGATTGGTGGAGCAAAAACAGAGAGACAAAAAAGAGAAGATAGAAAAATACCCAACAGTTCCTGAGAGATGGAGAATTATCATTTGTATTTGGTTGAAAGAAATTGAAAAAGATTCAAGCGTCTGTGCTTCTTCTTTCTTGTTCAATGGTAAAAAACTTATCAACTTTTCAGCAACTCTTTCAACAGATGCGGAATTCGTATGGGGATATTACACAAAAATAGTTCGAGATCGTTTTCGTGAAGGACTGCTCTCAATGTCACTGTTTTGACAGAAGAATAAATCTAGGCACAGCATGATTTCTTTGCGAGAAGATACAACGATGATATTTGAAAAATCGTCTCCCAAACCATCAACTCCCGATTACGTGACAAGAAGATCATTCAAGAGAATCGTTCAGGAGAATCGTTCGAGAGGGTCATTTGAGATTATAATATTCACACCCTCTTCAGATCTCACTCGTGAGTTGTGAAGAGGGTGTGAGTATTATTCACCTGTGAATAATTCAAGGTTGACTTGAAATCAAGGTTAAATTCATGAGTTGCCTTTAAAATCAAGGTTGTTTTCAAAAATGCGCCAGAATCTCCGTTTTCTATCTAATAAAGCTCCCTTCCATTGTACAGCATGTATACGAAATGAGATAATTAATTTTAACCAAACGAAACAAAATCGATTTAGTGAGAGGGAAAACGTCTCTAATCAAGCTGGCAAAAGTTGAAGGTCAGTGCTGGTCAACGTTGTTATTTTCCAGCCTGGTTACCTTGTAACAAATTTTGTTTTCATTATGTTTCTCAATCTTTATATTATTTTATTACTATTTTGCTTTCCTTTTTTCAGGATCCGGGATAGACAAAGAAAAAGGTACGTGGAACGCTTGTTGAGAAAACCTTACAACCTCTATCAAATATCACTACATTTGAGGGTAACTACATGCGAAATCGTGCTTTGATTATTCAAAAGGTGTTCACTTTCCCAAGCTTTTATAGGGATAGTTTCTTTTTCGAGTTTGCGGAAAATTTAGATCTCCTGCATATTTGATCCTTGTCAAAGGTAAGGTCAAATATGTTGTTCAGATTTGATATCAATTTTTGAGGAGCATCTTGAACGATATCAAAAATTTTACGCTTTTGACTCTGTATTCTATGCTAGTCATGGGCGATTTTAAATGTGGAAAGTGTGTGACATTACTTTTGACGTGGGTCAAAGGTAAAGCTAGATATGGAAGAACTTTGCTGATTCTTGTTAACGTCTATAACAACTGCATAGCAAAGCAGTATTTTAAATTGCCACGTATTTATTTTTGACTTTGGTCAAAAGTTACGTGAAATTACATTCTATCTCATCTCTGAAATGCGGATGAGATAAATGACTAACAGATAACTGAACAAGGTTGTGCAAAATATCGTGATATTTGCTAGTGGTGAGAAGATGAACTGTTTGTCAAAGCTGAAAGTGGGAGTACATACTGGTTGATCTGCGAAATACCAAAAAATGACGATATTATGCAAAAACCGATAATAACTGACAAAAGATGAGACGCATGGAGAATTCAGTCTCAGTGAAGATGACCTGATATTGGAGGAATAACTACCGGAGCCCCATCTATACGCCTGCCAGTTCATATGAAAGTAAGTAACATCATAACCCTTCTGCTCAATCAAAAACATCAGTAAAGACAACCCCTGCTGCTACCAGAAAAATTTGCTTTCAAGTTACACTTCTCATTACTTACCGCCGAATGGTTTTCGTCAAAAAGTAACGACTCAAATGAAAAAAGCATGATAATCTGCTTAGAGTATTGATGAAAACATTTGTTTCTGCCTTGGAATACGTGAAGATAGAATAAATCGTTGAAAATGACGCTTTTGGTCAGGTTATTTTTATAATCGGGTGCTAAACGAAAGAGAGGGTAAGAGTCTACCCCAACCTATGGTATGTTGGAACAACAACATAAACGTTCTTCGTCAATTTACAGTACTTACCCCAGTTCATACGTCAGCACGCGTTTATGGCGATGAAATTAAGTACAAAATCTTACTTTTTCCAGTTTATTATGTATTTATACTTAAACAGGCATCTCAAGTTAATTAAATAAAGTGGTATTAAGAGATGTCGAACCAAGCCAGCCTGGTTCAAGCAGACTCACCCAGGTTCTAGCAGAGTACAAGGATCTCAGGGACGCCAACAGAGATCATATTAAAGCGCAAAATGCAGTCCCAGGTGCTGTGTAGGTGCCTCTACGTCCATTCACATGCTCCTGGGAAGCTTTTAGTGATCACGTGACCATAAGAAAGCGTTATTAGTAGTGTTGCTTTCCGCCAAGTTATCAAGGGAACTGTAGTGGGACTTCGAGGGAGGCCTGGGACGATTACAGTAGCTATAAAGATCCAAAAAAGTAAGATCTATTTTCTGATTTTCGGACGTTAGGGATGAAATAACAACCGTTTTGTTCTGTTTTGTTCATTCCCATTAAATTAAAGGGTTCACTGTAGGTCTAACTGAAAACCATCCCATAACCTTAAACCTAAACCCCAACCCTACCCCTAAGCAATAGAACGGAGTATTATTTGAAGTTTTTCTCAGCCACTTGATTTTTCATCGTTACGTTGCCATTTTGCCTATTGCTAACGTTGCTCATGGCTTTTAACTTCCCAGTCAATGCTGCAGAATCGGACAAATCGGAGGTTTGATGAGAGAACTTGAGACAATGAAGCAGCTGAAACCATACCCTCACGTCATCAGACTTCTGGGATATGTTGTGGAATCGGTATGCTCAATTAGGTTGTATGGGTCTCATTGAACTTTGCGACATAAAGCGGATGAGGCTGATTTTATTACAGATATTCTTTTATTTTGGCTCGTTTTTTTTGGGACTTAAAGTCTCTCGTAAGTGATTGGATTATTTGCTGCACACTTTAGGTGCACTTCGCAGAGTCACTTCTGGTATCTATGGAATATGTTTCATTTGAATGAGTCAGCCGTGTTTTGTCTCAGCTTTCCGTTCGATC